ATAAAGGCTTTCACTCAACTACAGATTTGTTTAATAAAGATTTTATCTTCTTGTTACTGGTAGTTTTTTTCCTGATATGTATATTAGGAATACTTCTATCACAAAGTGTTTTAGTATTTGTTTTGGACAATTTTTCCAAAATATTTTATGTTTGGGTTTCCTTTGCAGAAAAAATACTTCCAGACTGAATTAAATGGTTATTGATTCAAAGGCTAGTGTAAGCACACCTAATTCCATTGTTATCTGGTAGACGAGAGCCAGAGCTTAAAGTGGGAAAGAACTAAACTAAATAGTGAGGATGTAAGGCAATTAGTGGAGAAGTCTGGAAGGTGCTAAAAGTGGCTGACAGGGCCGGCCCTGTGGCTTAGCGGTTAAGTGCTCGAGCTCCGCTACTGGCAGCCCGGGTTCGGATCCCGGGCACGCACCGACGCACTGTTTCTCTGGCCATGCTGAGGCCGAGTCTTGCATACAGCAACTAGAAGGATGTGCAACTATGATGTACAACTATCTACTGGAGCTTTGGGGGAAAAAAAGGAGAAGGATTGGCAATAGATGTTAGCTCAGAGCCGGTCTTCCTCAGCAAAAAAGAAGAGGATTAGCATGGATGTTAGCTCAGGGCTGATCTTCCTCACAAAAAAAAAAAAAAAAAAGTGGCTGACAAGCGGCACTTGGAAGCTTGAGGATATAAAATTGAGTTAACTACTAGAAGAAGCAAAAATAGAGGCCAGGTCCCAGAGGAGAGGAGGAGCCCCAAACACACATATAACGAAGAGGAGCACACTCCTGGAGTACTACAAGGGGAATGCTGTGCCCGATAACTGTGTGTCTTTCATCTCTAGCAAGCTCTAACCAAAACAGCATCAACTAGTATGTGCTCCAATGTCTATGAGCGAGGTTCAGGCAGGAGACTCCTCTGGAGCCAGTGTGAGAAGCAGAAAGCCTCCAGTTCCCACAGGAATTATTTTGTATAAAATAAAGCATAAACTAACTAAACCACACTCCAGTCCCAAACTTAAAACATTTTAAAATCAACAAAGTGATGCCTTTTACGCAATGCGGCACTAAGCTTCCTTTAACAAACAGTTTTCTGCCCTGTATAATGACAGCTTTCTGGAGTTACATAAATTATTGGTTCTATTTCAAACTTATACGAGAATAAAATAGCACATTAAAGGAGAACCAAAGTATTTACTCAACAGCAAAAGCATTTTAAACTATAGAGCACACAGCTTTTTATTCTTGAGAAAAAGTGGCCTTCCCCTTTTATTGACTTTATGCACTAATTCTCCTCAGGTATGTGCTAATTATGTGATCAAGGTATCAGTCACAACTGTGCTTCAAATCAGCAGTGAATCTGGGATGATCTTTAGATTGCATCTGACCAGAAGAGCTAAATTTCGAAGGTTTGAAATGCAAAAAAGACAGAAAAATAACATGAGTGTTCTCTGGGAAAGGTCTTCTGGTCAAGGCACAGACCAAGGCTGACTCTGCTATGTGGTAGTTCAAGGTGTGGGGTGTACGTGCACATAGGGAAGCAGCTTAGACCCTTCTGTCTCTAGGAGCTCTGGGTTGCTGAATGAACAGGAAAACAGGTAAAGCAAGGGAAGCTCACACTCTTTCAGGAAGAGGGTACACTTGGGTCTTAGGATCAGGAATCCAAACTTCAGAGGATTAACTTTTGCAGAGCTGTTTGGATTCTCTAAACATATTCAAGTACTTTGTTCTTTGTAATTAGCAAAGCTAATTAATATGGCAGGCTAATTCTAGGCAGAAAAAGACTGTGCAAGGTAGACAGGGGTTTTAAAAGGAGCCAGTAATAGTGAGAGCAGCAGGAATACAACCTTTAAATAAAGGGAGGAAGAGGGAGGGAGAGAAGACAGACAAATCTGAGGCTCAATGTACAACTCTCTCTTCACATATGTGGAGAAATCTTCCTCTCTGTCAAATATTTACTTTTGTTTTTTTCAAAAGACTTTCCTAACAATCCTCACTTATACAGAATGGTAATATCAAAGTACTTCCAAGAAACACTAAGTAAAATCACCTCAATTTGCATTCTAGAGATTAATTTTAAAGGGATATTGATACAGTTGGGGTCTAAAAAGGTTTCCATAACATATTGTTTAAATAACTTTTAAAGACTCACCTGTAGGCTTAACTGAATAAAACCCAATGGCCTCTCCTTTCTTCCACAGAATCTTAGCATAATCAGTACTGTTATGACACAGGAATGGGATCTCATTTCTCTCCATTTCCTGTTTTCTATAAATAATTCGATTCAGAACATACAGAACCACTCTCTCCCCAAGAGTTCTCACCTACAAAGAGAGTCAGACACCAGGCACAACGGTTATAATATGCACCAATTCAGAGATGCTCCCTGCCTCCATTCCTCATGCTGGCACTCAAAGCACTTTGAAGACACTCAAAATGATTCGTAAAACATTTTATCATCAGAGAAACGAGACTAATCATTCATACCAAATCAATCCATTCCTACAGACACATATTGTGCGTGCAATACTGCCTCTCAGCAAAATTCTAAAACAGGCAAAACGGGTTTCCAATGCAGGATCCCCAGCACCTCCTCTTTAGCCCTCAGTGTTTTCTTTCCGCTTCCAGCTGCCCAGATCCAGGGACTCAACACCCTAAGTGCTGCCCCTACTGCCGCTACTGCTTCAACTCTTTCACCCCATTCCAGCCTAAATATAAAACAAAAAGATAAAGAAAAAAAAGGAAAAAAGCCTCATGTTATCCCCTGAAGACTTTAAGAACAATGACCTCATTTTATGAGCAAAGCCATAATTATGCTCTTGGGAAAGGATTCTGTCTCATCTTCTCCAGGTATATGTTCATTTAACTGTAGTGTCTTTGTTGTCTGACTATAAGGCATACTCACCTCCCCCGCTCCCCTTCCCTCTGCCAGGCCAGATGAGCTATGACAGTGGCCCCAGGGAAGTCTCGGGAAAACACACTTGGGGCAATCACAGAGTAGAGACCGAGACTCACAGGGCTACACGGCCACAGGGGCGGCCACAGGGGCCCCTCACCAACTCTGAGATCAAACAGCGAGGTTTTCCCCATAGGCATCCTTCACTGCTAAAAATAAGACTTCTATCCATAACGTCTACTTTCCCCCAAGTCTCCTTAAAGAGAAACATGAGTGCCCTCAATTAGGTAAGTGGAGAGAAAGAGCACTAACCACACACACACTCCTCTCAAAAACATCCCTGGCAGGGGATCTCAATACCAAAGGACACATGCATGACACAGCTCACCTGCTGATAAGGCAACCCATTCCTTCCTCTGACCAGCATAAAACTTCCTCATGCTGAGCTGAAATCTGTTTCCCAAAGACTATACTTTGATAATCTGGAGCCACACAGCCTACAAATATTTGAAGACAGCCATGATGTTCCCCTAAATTTCATACCAAAGCTAAACAAGTGAAGGAAAAGACGACTCTAATGCAGTTTTGGATACTCTTACCATTCTATCCTCTCCCTTGAAATGCTCCAGATCCCTAACATCTCTCTTCATGCTGGCCAGGTAGGTATGACAGATACAAACCCTGAAGATACTGCTAAGACAACGGGCTTTTCTGTATGAACTGAAGGGTTTTTATTAGCTCTTTGCTGACCTTGACTTTACTTCTAATTTACTAAAGCCCAGTCTTTTTCACATGGGCTGCTGTCTCAGTTTGGTCTTCATGGCGCACATGTGCAGTTAGGTTTTTGAACCTGTGGATACTACTCTGCATTTATCCCTATTTATTTTCATCATGGCAGATCCTTCTCTTTGTTTCTTAATTCTGCCTTTCAGATTAGTTCTCCCATTCAGCACTGTGGCATGCAGAATTGATAAGCATGCCCTCTGTGTCTTCCTCTAAGTAACTGACAAAAAAGGTGACCAGGACAGAAAAAAGGACAAAGTTTTGCAGAGTGCTATCAAGGACCTCCCTTCCACTCCACTGTTGACAACACCCAACAGACCACCCGAAATGGCCCCACTGATCAGCAGGTTTCCCCATCAGTCTCTCCTAGAGACAGAGAACCCAAGCAACCACACAGAGAGAACCAGCTATCTCCTGACCCAACAAGAAAATCAGAAGCTGCGTTATACGGGTAACTACAGCTCCACTAACACACGGGTCTTCATTCTTCCTCACCCAATTCTCACAGACTTTTAGAACCACACAAAATTGAGGAAGCCCAATCTGAGCGCCAGTTTCATCTTAACAATGAAACTCTAAGGGTTTAACGTACCCTGGTTATACTAAAATGGAGAAGACCTCAATAACTTCAAAAACTATCACTGTTTATGGGAAACATATTGTGAAATGGTCTCATAAGAAACACTTCTAAAAGTTGAGGATCTTGTTACCTGCTTAAGCCCCTCTCTAGAAGGGACAGATGTTTTCACAATATCATCAATAGCCCACCACTGATCAGCAAGGTAAAGTGCCACAGCTAAAACAGAATAAACGAGTATTAACATTTAAGTCTTAAAGTATACAATATTACTATTTGTTAAAGCTAATATAGATACCCTTAAATATACCCATACTTTATAGACAATGTGGCCCCATTTATACCCATCTTTATTTTGTTTTATTTCACTTATTAAACATTTGATTATAAGCAACTGATAACTACATTTTCCTAAATTTACAGTTTGAAACAAGTTCTCTTTGTGAAAATTTCTTCATGTGGCTACCTTTTACTAAATTTCTGTTTGGAGAAAATTTCCTCTATTTACAAAGATTAAGCAAAAAAGAGACCTGTGAGTGAGTCCTCAGGTGCAAAAAGAGCAAGAACTTTCTGGGTCTGGTCTCCACCATAAAGAGGTACAAAGCCTACATTTGACAGGCTAATAGGAATCTGAAATGACAATTGATTAAAAATTAGTGAAGAGTCTGTTAAGAAAATATAGGACAAAAACACCATGCTTCTACCAAAATATTAAACTTTCCCTACACTAATGCGAACTATATAACTTCATTTCACAGAAGATATTTCTAGTCTCAAAAAAAAAAGAGTAAAACAAAGACTTTCCTTTTGCAGTTGAGGAAAAAATGAAAGTTTATTTCAATAAATACTACTGTGCTCTAGCCAAACATCCGAATAAAAACATGATATGGTCCATAAGTCATCAAAAAACAACTATAGTTATTAATTTGTTATTTAGACTACTTGAGCAGGGAAAAAGTCCATTTTCTAGTAAAAGACACCAGATAAGTAAATTTATCTTTCCAGCAAGATACATACAATACTTTAAAATTTTTCTGCCTTCATTAATCCATCACTAATTCCCCATTTACAGACAATATTACACTTCAGAGAATTATAAAATATTGGTACTGGAGGAGACTTTGAATTAGAATCCATTAAATTAAGATCATTTTCCAGAAGAAAAATCTGAGGCCTAGAGCGGTTAGAGAAGTTGCCTCCCATCAAGTTCACAGTGGAATTCTAATGATGCCAAGTCTAACGATCTTTCTATCACAATATATCATGGCTTACTAATTAGAAATTTTTATTTTAATATTTTAGAAAAAGGAAGATTTGTGACACAAAAATATGTACTTTAGTGTTTTGCTTATTTATTAAAAAAATTTGGAAAATCACAAATTCCAAATCTAATGTAAATTTAATTGAGGTAACTCAAATATGGTAACCAGTCTTGCAAAACTGGTAAACTACTTACATATAATTTTAAAGGCACAACACAATTATTAAGCAATAACCTGTAGTCTTTTTTAACACTTGACTGTGCTGCTGTACTAACCAATCAATATTTATCCATTTTACTACTCTTCTGATAAAAATTTCAAAAGTGATTAGTTAACACTTTGATAAAAAAATAAAAGGATATTGATCTCACGTATAAAATCAACTGAAAAGATTGATAAAAATCACTGCAGAATGCCTTACCGTAATATTGAGAAGAGAAAAACACTCAGGATTTTCAGGGTCCCCACACCTTAGATCTGACATGTAATCCTCAGCAGAATTTTCCAGTTCCTCGTGACTGCAATTATCCAGCATATCCACAGGGAATGCCATCCTCTTTAACAAACAACATGGGACAAGGTGTTTCAGAATATGAAATTCTATCTTCCTGTACTCATATAAAAAACTTTTTATTGTAATATTGAAGCATTCTATTGTAAGACTTCTTTTTCACTATGCCATGGCAGACTACAATTTGAGCCTGCCGATTTAACAATGTAGGTGAAAAAGAAAACTTGTAAACATTATTCATTTGTATTAAAAATAAGCAATGAAATAGGAATTAATGGATAATTCTTTAAATGATAAATATATTTATATAAGATATATTCACACATAAACACATATACATATAAATATATCCTCATATACCTGTCAACATAAAAGTCACTGTAAAAGGACACAAGGGAACCTTCTGGAACGACAGAAACATTCTACAACTGGATTGTGGTGACAGCTGCACAACTCCATAAATTTACTAAAAAAATCATCGACTTATACAGTTGCAATGTGTAACGGTTATGGCATGCAAATTATAGCTCTCATATATAGCTGTTAAAAAAAAAAAGCCAGCACCTTAATGGGGAAACACTAAAGACTTTCCCACTAAAGTCAAGAAAAATAAGGACTCCACTACTATATACCATTATATAGGCACCTGCCAATGCAATCAGACACGAGAAAGCAATTAGAGGCATAATAATTGGGGATGGGTGCAGGGGTTGGGGGGGACTATCTCCACCTCAATTTGCAAATAATGTATTTAACTGCAAAACCTGAGAATCAATGGCAAAACTATTGCAGACAATAAGAAAATGAAGTAAAATAGCAGGATATAAAATTGCATACAGAAATCAAGCCCTCATATAAACAATAACAATCAGTAAGAAGAAATAATGAATGGGAAAAATGAAGTAAAAATAGAAAAGACCCCACTTACAACAGCAAAAAATAAAAATAGGCTTAAATTTAACAACAACAATAAACAATACAAAATCTATATAAGGAAAACTATAAAACATTCCCAAAAGCAGCAAAGTGAACAACACGAAAGACAAACTATGTTCTTGGAAAGCAAGATTCAACATCATAAAGGTAGCAGCTCTCCCTAAAATAATCTACTAATTTAATGCAATCCTAATGAAAATACCTTTAGGGTTTTATTTTTTCCTGAAGCAAGACAAGCTGATTATAAAGTTAATTTGAGGGCCAGCCCCGTGGCTTGGTGGTTAAGTGCACGCGCTCCGATGCTGGTGGCCCGGGTTCGGATCCCGGGCGCGCACCGAGGCACCACTTCTCCGTCCATCCTGAGGCCGAGTCCCACATACAGCAACTAGAAGGATGTGCAGCTACGACATACAACTATTTACTGGGGCTTTGGAGGGAAAAAATAAATAAAAAAAAAATAAAAATCTTTAAAAAAAAATAAAATAAAAAAAAAATAAAGTTAATTTGAAAGAATAAATAAGCAAGAATAGCTAGAAAAATCCTGAAAAGGCAGAGCAATGATTGGAGAAAGGTGCACCCTGTCAGATATTCAAACATGTTACAAAATTTCTATAATTAAAACAATGTGATACAGGCATATGGACAGATCAATGGAACAAGACACAGAAATAGACCCTAATGCCTATGGAAACTGAGTATATGATTAAGGAGCTGTCTCAATCAGTGAGGGCAAAAAGGACTTTTTAATAGGTAGTAGTGTTTCACTGGTCAGTCTTACAGTATGTTTAAACATTAGTGTTGCCCATTTCTGAACTGCTTGTATCTGAAATCATACAGTATGTTCTCTATTGTGTCAACTCTGTTTCACTCAACATAATTTCTGTGAGAAACATACATGTTGCTGCATCTATCAGTTAATCTGTTCCTTTTTATTGCTGTGTAGCATTCCACCATATACAAATTCAGTTTATTTACCCATTCTACTGCTGATGGGCATTTGGGCTGCTACGGGCATTCCTAGATGAGTATTTTGGTGGATACATGCACTCATTTGTGTAAGGTCTGTATACCCACATTAATCAATCTTGCTAAAAGTAAGACAAGCAGATATATGCATCCTGATGTGATGCAACAAGAAAAGATTCGGACCCAAATCTACAAGCCATTAGACAAACGTGAAATGATGCCTCAAGTATGCAGCCAGCCAAATTTAGCATAACTCAGTTTCTTCAATAAATACATGTCATGGAGTTTAAAGAGAAGAGTGGAAACTAATGTTAATTAAAAGAAACTTAAGAGACATTATCAGTCAGATGCATTGTGGAGAGGATCCTGATTTGTGTACTCTTGAAAATTTCCATGACAAAAAGTTAAACAAAAAATAAATGTACAGGGGCCGGCCCCGTGGCTTAGCGGTTAAGTGCGTGCTCTCCGCTGCCGGCGGCCCGGGTTCGGATCCCGGGTGCGCACCGAGGCACCACTCCTCCAGCCATGCTGAGGCCGCGTCCCACAAACAGCAACTAGAAGAATGTGCAACTATGACATACAACTATCTACTGGGGCTTTGGGGGAAAAATAAATAAATAAATTCTTAAAAAAAAAAAAAAATAAAATAAACGTACGATCCATGTCAAATACTGAGCTACCAGTTCTTAAAGGAGGTATAAATAAAGTTAGTATAGATTATCTTGTTTTACAAGTCCCCTATTTCAGAAATACCATATGATCCAGCTATCCCACTACTGGATATTTATCCAAAGAACATGAAATCAACAATACAAAGAGGCTTATGGGGCCGGCCCCGTGGCTTAGCGGTTAAGTGCGTGCGCTCCAATGCAGGCGGCCCAGGTTCGGATCCCGGGCGCGCACAGACGCACTGCTTCTCCGGCCACACTGAGGCCGCGTCCCACAAACAGCAACTAGAAGAATGTGCAACTATGACATACAACTATCTACTGGGGCTTTGGGGGAAAAATAAATAAATAAATAAAATTATAAAAAAAAAGAGGCTTATGTACCACTATGTTCACTGCCACATTATTCACAACAGCCAAGATGCGGAAGTAACTCAAGTGCCCATCAACTTATGATTAGATAAAGAAGATGTGGTATATATATATAAAATGGAATACTATTCAGCCATTTAAAAAGACAAAATCGGGGCCGGCCCGTGGCTTAGCGGTTAAGTGTGCGCACTCCGCTACAGGCAGCCCGGGTTCAGATCCTGGGCGCGCACCAACACATCGCTTCTCCGGCCATGCTGAGGCTGCATCCCACATACAGCAACTAGAAGGAAGTGCAGCTATGACATACAACTATCTACTGGGGCTTTGGCGGGGGGGG